ACAGATGTTCTGAAATTCCTTTTTTAAATTGTTTGAAGTGAAATACTATTTAAAAAAATAAATTAGAAATGAATTATTAATTGAAGTCTCCATTTATTTTCAATATTAATTCATTTCTCTGCTCCCAGGTGTTTGCTGCAGCTTTCTGAAAGGCTCCATCACAGCATTTCAGTTTAGTTTAGGTTCAGCTGCAATGTTTGAGATTGTTCTGTTAATAATAATCCAGTTTGGATAAAGCGTCATCTGTCAGATAGATGGCTTCACATGTGATTGTGGAATGTTATATATTATATAGTGGAGTTCATGTTCCACTTGGTGAATGTGAAGAGCTCAGGTCCTGTCGTTACAAAAGAAGCCCAAATCAACAGCCCACCACCACCATACTTTCGGTAACTTTCTCTAAGTGGGTATAAGGTGTTTGTAGTTATCGACTGTGACTGCATTTTTTTTTCTAAACATGCTTATGAGCATTATGGCCAAATATCTCTACCTTGTTCTCATCTGCCAAAACAACATTATCTGATAAGAATTGAACTTCAGCAAGATGCACCTTTTTTGTGTTGCATATGTTTTTCATAGATATAAATCCTAGATAGGGGGAAATGAGATGTTTTTCAGGGGAAAAAATCTTTGTCTCTGTGGTTTGTTGAACTTCAGATAGTTTGCAAAGGCCATAAACCCTTCAGAGGTTGATGAGCAGCAAATGTTGTGTCTTTTAATATTATTGATAATAACTAACCACTTTGAGTTGAGTTTTAAATACATCATTACGCTTCAGAGGGGTCAACTTATAAAATCTTATTTCATAGAGGCGATAATACCGATTATTCTCAGATGTTCTGTGAATTCATGGAGCAGTGTTCAGTTGCCTGTAGCCACATGTCTATACTGTATTTATTTAACAAAGGGAACTTTGCCCTGACACCTGGTACTAATTACACAATTTAAACTTTATTTCCCGAAATATTAACTTGATTTATGAGTCAGAAGTAAAACTTTCTTACAAAATATTCCCATCATCAGGCTTTAACCTCAATCTCTGCAAACACTTGAACTTTCCCCTTTAATGCATGACTGCAAGTGCATTGCATCAGGGAATTTTGCAATAATGGTTTGTGTTTCCTGCTGTATGAAACTGAAGAATAGTTATGGACAAAAACATACTTTAGTAGGTAGATGGTGTGAGTTGTTGATATGATGTGTTTGGTTTTCTTCTAACAGCTGCAATATATCAACCTCAGAGCTGCTGCACACAGTGACGAAGTAGCACTGTGGCCTTTGAATCAGAGCAGTGAGCTCTGATCTTTGCATTTGTATTCAGTGAGCAGTGAATACAGATTCAGCAGCTCCAGCAAACAATTTACCACTGGACCATGGTGCACCTAAATGAGTTTAAACCAGTTTTATTGGTGCAATAGATAAGGAAACTTTGACCTTTAAGGTGAACCTGTGTAAAAGGGCGTTTCTTGCTGCTAACAATCAGTTGATTGTACAGGTTATCAAAACAGAAATATTGCAGCAGTAGAAAGAGGGTGTGATGATCTACTTTGTGTTGTGCAAGGTTCATCACGAAAAAAAAGAAAGACAGAGAGACGGAATAATAAACATAATAAACTAACTCAGAAAAAAAGCCAAGAAACATGATTTACATCAGTTTTGTTTTCCTTTTATTTTGAAGAAATCTACATGTTTCATATAATAAAAGCTGACAACTTCTGAGGAGTCATTTTTCTAGCAGGAGTATATTTTTAATTAACAGCATCTGTACGCTGCAAATACCTAAGATTAAATGCAGAAGCAGAAGAGAGTTGAAGGACTAGAAATGATGGTTCTTCTACATGAAAGAAGTTTTCCATTTAGTCGGAGTCGCTGCTGCTGCTGCTGCTGCTGCAGGAGCTGCTGGACGCCTGAGAGAAACACATAAAATTAGGAACGACATTGCTTACCTTGAAAAGTTCTCAAGCTTTATTAGGTCTGTTTTTTCCCACAGAGTTAGATCTAAACATATGCATTTTGCAGAAGAGCTTTTTTTTTTGCCATTTTGTTTGTATCTTGTTACAGAAGCATAAAAAAGAAAATCTTCTTACCCCATGACCGTCCTTCCCCTTCTTATGCTTATGCTTGTCCTTATCCTTGTGCTTGTGTTTTTTCTTATCCTTGTGTCCATGACCATGGTGGTGACCATGATGCGGGTCTTGATAGTGTCCGGGTCCAGGACCGTACCCAGGTCCTGGTCCGTGTCCAGGATGTACTGGATGTACAGGATGTCCAGGATGTATTGGATGCACAGGATGTCCAGGATGTATTGGATGCACAGGCTGTCCAGGATGTATTGGGTGCACAGGCTGTCCAGGATGTACAGGATGTACAGGATGTCCTGGATGTCCAACTACAGGAGGACAGTTTGACATCGGTGGAGGAAAAGCAGGGTTAGCACCTGGCATCTCCTGAGGTTGGTTGGGGAACCCTCCAGGGAACTGGTTCCCTTAACACAAAAAAAGGGGCAAGTTCAGTCAGTGCACATTACAAAAATAAATGATAATCAGTTTGATAAGAGGCTGGGCTTACCTTGATTCTGGCCGTACATTCTGAGAAATCTGCTGAAATGACAGATTCTGAAATAGAGAAAGCATGTATTTCAGTGAGGTTTGTGATGTTTAACATGAAGAATTGACCCAAACAGAAGTGCTTTCATACCTGGTTCCAGAAGATCTCCTGATTCTGCTTAAACCTTCAGTCTCTTTTATCGTCTGCTGCACCTTTATTTCAGGAGGTCCTCATCAAAGTACCAGGGCAGGTCTTTACTACCTACATGACCTACATGAGATCTGGTGTAATAATTAACTTTAACAGTCTGCTGGGTGGACGTAAACCTTCTTCTTACTTAGTTCAGTGTCCGTTTTTTATTTAATTTTAGTTTTAGTCCCTTGGATGTTTTTGAATTCCTGCTTCCCAGAGCAAACAACTGTATTACTTTAAAAAAAAAAAAAAAAACTCTTTTAGCAAGATGCACCTCAGCCTTATGCTTTTAGAAGCCAACATCAAGCCTTAAGCATCGTTCTGGTTGATATTTGACTGCGCTAATCTTCCTGCTCTATTACTCCATGGAAACGTGGGCAACACCCAGTATAGATCTCCAGTCTACCACAAGAAAACACAGAGACACAACAGACAAACAACCATGGAAACACACAATATAAAATGTATGGAAACCAATGAGCCGTTTTTTCTAGATTGGGGCAGTACCAGAAGAAAACCATAGATCTATGGAGACATCATGGAAACTCCCTGGAGAAAAGCCGCAGTCTGGTATTCAAACCAAAGATCATCTTGTTGCAAGTTAATAGTGCAACTAAATGTACAACTACTCTTTCAAACATACTCCTCATCATTGTGTAGAAACAACTCTGTCTTTGTCCCATTAGACCAACAAACGGTTCTTCGTTTGGCTCCTCAATGTGGACCGTTGCCTCCTTCAGTCCAAATCTAAAGGTTTGGATTTCTGAGGATGAGCATCTTTTCTTCTTCTACATCCTCTCAGACTGTAGTGATGTTAAACTGCCATTACTGGGATCATTTACAAAGGTGTTCCACCACTTTCTGGACATTCAACTGAAAATCCGATTCTAGTCAAGTCATTCGAAAATGTTACTTGTGACGCCACATGACTAACACGTGTTTTGGGCACTGTCAATGTGCTGTCTTCACCTTTTAAATGGTCACACATATTTAACACATTAAGAGCACATAACAACATGTCAACTATGTGTCAAATATACATTGATTTCATGTGATTAAGAGTCGATCGGCCACTTTTCCAGTTTGAGCTGGTGGGTTTTGGCTCTTTCCCATTAGCAAGTAAGTAGTAGGGTTAAACCAAGTGGTGACTGGTGGAGTTTCCTTCAGGCTGGGCTATACATTCAAAATAGACGTATACCAAAAACCAATCAAACGTGTACTAAATTATCACACAGTAAATTTATATGAATGCAAACAACAAAAAACAGTAAAAAAAACAAGACATAATTTCATGTGCATTTTTATTTTTGTACATAAATCTTGCCCTTCTGACGCTTCGTGAAGGAAAATATGGGTTTTGTATGGTTCAATGTTGTATCACAAACCTAAAAAAAATAATTATGTACCAGTTTAATAATGGTGAAGCTATTAGTCAGCTTTTTCTTTTTTTATGTATAAAAACAATTTATTTTCCGAGAATGAGTTTATTTAAGAGAAACTATGCAAATTAACAAACATCTAGTAAAAGTTCACTATATTGTATTATTTTGCATGTGAATACAAGATTGTTCAGGCTTCTTTGCCCCTTCTAAAAAGTGCTTTAAATCAGTCCTACCTGTCTTATTCTATGCTGGATGGATTAAGGCAGGTATGACAGGTATAACCCCAGGTATGACCTGATTAATATATTATATTGAAATATGTGATCAATCCAATGAGGAACGAAACAGTTTTGCTCGTCTTTAAAGATTAAATACTTATCCTTCACATCTGGATGATAAACATTTCTTACAAAGGGAAAAAAAATAAGCTGATATGTTTCATTGCTGCAGGAAAACCTCCCACAGCTTACAATAAGAGGCCAATGGGGAAAAAACCTAACACCCACATGCTCAAATTGGCCAACTGGCTGAATGGCTACTAATCAAATAAAACCTAGACAAACACGTTGACAGAGTGCAAACAGCGCACAAAACACAAGTTAGTCACGTGTTGTTTACATGTCAGAAGTCCCCTATTTCTGAAAGAGTTGGCTTTCCATATGGTATGCAAATCTGTATTCGTGATCCTGTAATCCTATCCAAAAAACACAAACCTGGTTTTTTAACAGCCTTTTTTTACCTGGAAAAGGATCAGTTCCAGTAAATCAAATAAAGCCCAGAATCAAGATGAAAAAATAAATCTTTGGAACTGCACTGTGTCAATCAAATGGTATGAATTTGTTCCTAAAGGTTTCCTAACATGTTGCAGAAAAACAACACACAAAAACAGATGCTTTCATTGTTGCTAGGGGAGACAAATTTCTGCAAAATCAGCAATCAACATCTTCAGTTAATATAAAGTTCAACTGTTTTATGTAGAAACCAATCAGCTCGGATTTTACTGAAGATGAAAACTCTGGCATTTGGACTGGAGTGCAATATTTTTAAATGGGCAAACAGTTGCACCCGCGCATTTCTAGGAAAATATGTAATAAATAAAAGATATGGAAATGATGAAAGCTGGAGTTCTACAGGTGAACTGCTGGGTGTGTCAGTGTTTGTGGAAAATGTGAATAAAGGTCGCGATTCACCCGTCCATAGAAACCGAAGTATAATAAAACATCACACCTCTTACTAGAGCAAACAGAGAAACGGAAGTCAAATGAGGTCAGAGGAAGAAGGAGTAAGATAGACTATTTTCCTACTTAGATTCTACAAAAGTCTTCATACCTGTACAACTTCTCCATTTTGTCACTTTACTTAAACATCCATGTGCTTTATTTGGATTTTATAAGGAGTTTGGTTTGCAAATAAACATCCACCTCCCAGTTTACAATTCTTCTCTACTTTATGTTGGTCCCATAAAATCACAATAAATATACAGAAAAGTTTGTGGTTACAACGTGACAAAATCTGTGAAAGTTTAAGGTGTGCAAGAACATATGCAGGACACTGTAAAAATGTATTAAAGGACTAGAATATTTACATGTATTATTTTTAAATCAGTTGATTTAAGTTGCCACATTTCCCTTTGATAAAGAAAAATTGATATTCAGGAACGATCATTTCTGCACGTAATGAGGGAAAATTTAAAGAAAATCTCTGGACCAAAAAGACGTTATCAAATTGGGGTTTAATATGTTCCATATAATAAAAGTAATTTGACCTACAAAGACAAGAGAGATTAGATTAGTTGGTTCCTGGAGCATCGGATCATAAAGGGTAAAAGTAAGACTTTAAGGATACCCTTTAAATACATTATCAATATCCAAATCTGATCACAGAGTGGGGATGTATGAGACAAATTGATCGTTTCTTGCAGTTTTGGTCCAGCATGAGTTCCATAGAGGCTCAGTCTCAGAATAAACTGCAACTGATATAATCCTGAAGGTACAACATCAGGAAATCTGAGCTTTCATTGTGAATTAATTTTTATATTTACATTAAATAGTGGTACGCATTTCCAATGCAACTCGGAACTCTGTTGATCTGACTTGGATGTAAGTCATGGATCAACATTATCTGAAGTCAGACTGTGTTATTTTTACTGCTGAATTATTTTTGCCTGTTTGCATAAGATTGGTCAATTTTGAGTATTTCCATGTATTGTCTGTTCTGCAAAGGCATCTTCTATCATTTTAAGAAGTTGAGGTTTTTCATGTGAACTTCAAGGTTTGCTGATACTTCCCAACACAAAAGGGAGCCCAAGTATAAAAATTTAAATTAAAAAAATCTTTAGGAGAAACTTTAGAATTCTGGATCAGAAGCAGTTTTAAAATCTGCACGGTTTAATACCTTGGAAAGAAAATTCTGAAAAAAAATCTAAATTCATTTGGACAAAATGCCTTACTGTTGAACTAATGAGAGCAAATTGCACCATGCATTTAAACTTTGAAAAGGATTAAAACTAAACATAAGTGAAACAAAACCAATAACACAGAAATCTTTAACTTTTTTGAATTTCATATTTTTTATTTTTAAATCAGTACAATGCAAGAAATCCAGCAATGTTTCATTCTGCTTTTGAAAAAATAAAGATCATTTGCATTTATAGAACCTTAAAGGTATTTTTGTGTAAAGCCCATTTTCATTGGGACTACAGACAAGCTTTAGATGTGGAATAAACTGATCGTTGCAGATTATTGGAGCTGAAGATGCTCGTTACGCCTCCGTCTAATCAGAGTCGCTGCTGCAGGAGCTGCTGGAGGACTGCAGAGGAAGAAGAAATAGAAGCAGGTGTTACTACTACACCTAAATCTGATTGTATGATACATCAATATTTACTCACAAAACATTGTCAAGATGTGAAAAAAAATGTATGTTTAGTGCGGAAAGTAACACAATCTCACCGCATGACAATCCTTCCCTTTCTTGTGGCATTTGCTGTGTTTGTGGCCACCCTTGTGCTTGTGCTTCCCCTTGTGTCCATGTCCATGTTCCTTCCCGCCACAACCTCCATGTCCGTGTCCGTGTCCATGACCATGTCCATGTCCATGACCATGATCATGTCCATGACCATGACCGTGTCCTCCTAAGGGCATTTTTAGAAGAACTTTAGAATGAAGTAATGTAGAAACTTGTAATCTGCAGAACCTTTTTATTCTAGTTTCATCAGAAACAAGCAGATTTTCTTGCAATCTCTCAGATGGTCCTGCTCAACAGTTTTATAGGCTTTCTGAGGGTTTTTGAAGGTTTTACTTGAGACGTTGGCTACTTTTTCACTCACATTCAGTTGCTGACCACCTCAACTCTAACTATTGTAAATTCTACGTTTAAAACCTTTTTTGAGTTAGTGCAAAAATACAGTTCAGTATTTCATTTATTTTATTTTATTTTATTTTTTTTACACTACAGTATTTTTTACAGTACGGTTCATTTGTTGGGAATTACTTTACAAAATTACTCAATACACCTGAATTTCCGTATAACGGAACATTCAATAGTGTTTTGTTTTCTATTTTTGTTCCTCTAATCTACAGACAAACCAAAGCTATGGGTTTGTTTTTATATGCAACCTTTAAACATTAGTAGA